TCCCTATGAGGAAAGGTTAAAGCGCTTAGGGCTCTTTAGCTTGGAGAAACGACGACTGAGGGGTGACATGATTGAGGTTTATAAGATTATGCATGGGAAAGAGCAGGTAGAGAAAGAGGTACTTTTCTCCCTTTCTCACAATACAAGAACCCGTGGGCACTCCATGAAATTGCTGAGCGGTCGGGTTAGAACGGATAAAAGGAAGTACTGACCTCCTGGTGGCACCTGGTATTTCTGGCCACTGTGTGACACAGAGTGTTGGACTGAATGGGCCTTTGGCCTGATCCAACATTGGTGTTTCTTATGTTCTTATCCCCTCAGGGTTTCTCTCACCTGTGGTTCTACTAGTCTCCACGCTACTATGTATAAGAATAACTCATTTTTACACTTTTCCCCTCATGAGTTAAAATTTAATTCTTTGCACTTCGGAATCAGAGCCTCCTCCTTCATTCCTTCATTTTTCTCTTTTTTGTATTTCTTTCCACAATTTTATTAAACCTCACAAGAGTATGTTTTCAGTTAGAATTCTACTAATTTCTTCACGTCTTTTCACTTTATCAGAATGTTTTCTATCTCTTGAGTCTTTTCCATTCCTCGGACTGTTTTATATCCCACCCCTAAGCCAACACGTGTCACGGTACCACTCTTTTGTGAGGTTAGGTGCGATGTAGTTTTAAATGTCTTCTTGTTTCTTTCTCTCAGAGTATCTACCTCTGTCTCCAGGAATTTAATTCCAGTCTGTAATTAACCTTTCCCACAGTATTGTGCGAGCTCTAAGGCCCCTTCGTTGGACTATGTGGTTCTGAGGACGACACTCTTATATTTTAAACAGCTTATGACTCTGGTTAACAATAAACACGATAAAACTTTATTGGTAAAAGAAGCGTGTTGGTTACAAGCAATGTTCCCTCTAAGCCGTGGAGTCTTGTGAGCAAAAATTCTACTCTGTGAGCTACTGGCATTAAAGTTGTGAGCAAGCGATTTGGCTACTGCATAAACTAGTTTGCTCTGGAGCCCCATCCTTCCTGAGCTGAGACAAAAATGTGTGAGCTGGAGGCTAAAAAACTGTGAGCTAGCTCACGCTAACTCAGCTTAGAGGGAACACTGGTTACAAGACGTCGCTCAGTAAAATCTTTCCCCTTTTTACTCAGGTCTCTGTCAGCTTTTCCCCCTCACACTCTTAAAATACTCTTGACTATATTAGATTTTGCCTAATATGGCCCCTTATGGATATTTTCTTCCTCCTTTAGAAGCTTCATGCCTTTCACAGCACTTCTATGAGATCCTAATGAGAAGGCTGCTTCTCAGACTCTGTGCAGATTGAAGTCAGTAGCTGTCAGTTGTGGTCAAATTCAAACTTCAAACTGAACCCTCCGCCTTCTCTCTCTCTCCCCCCACCCACACACCTCCTAGCTCCGCCCACACACACAGTCACCAACCAATCACCTCACTCACTCATCTCTCTCTTTCACCCCCACCCAGTTCTTCTGACACTTACCAACCACTTAAAAACAAACACAGACATATATCTTGAAATCATTACAAAGACCTATTAGTTGTTTAAAAATTCCAGGGTTTAAGAAATAAAAAGGCGCACTGAGCATGCGTAGACCGTATTTCTCCAAGCGAGCCGACATCAGGAACCTGCGCAGTCACAGCTAGCTATCACGAGCAAGGTCATAAGCAATCAGTTACTGCCTGTCAGCATTTAGTATTTTCCCCAGAATGCATTTAAGCATTGAACCAAAGTGAATACCTGAATATATATTCATGATTGATGTCTATCTCTGTAATTAGAATCACCAATGGCACTTAACATATCTGTATGTCTGTGTATGTCATAGGTGCTAACTGAGTCCACTAAGGTTAGTCTACTAAAGCAGACAGAGTGCTGAGTGCATAACAATGTCACATATAAACTGTGCGTACAACACTCTTGCCAAAAATGGGTTGCGATACGTAAGATATCCCAAAACAACGATGGGAGAAGCTTGAACCGTTGGCTATGAATTAATCCAAAGCAACATACTTCTTACTAGCTAGTAAGCTAGTAAAGTTCTAGCTGCTGGATTACATGGCTCAACAAGGGGAAATCAAACAAATTCATGGTCTGTTATGTTGTCAAAGGCTTTGGCGGCCAGAGTTCATTAGCTGTTGTAGATTTTCTGGGTTGTCTGGCCGTGGTCTTGGCACTGTAGGACCTGATGTTTTGCCAGTAGCTGTGACCGTCATCCTCAGAGGTATAACACAAAAGACGGAGTACTCCATCTTTTTGTGTTATACCTCTGAGGATGCCAGTCACAGCTACTGGCGATAGGTCAAGTCCTACAATGGCAAGACCACGACAACCCGGAAAAATCTACAACAGCTCATGATCTATTGCTAGCCAAATGAAACCACCGTGTTCAGAGATAGTATACCTCTGACCACCAGCATAACAAGCAGAAAAGATGGATGGGGATGGGTTAAAGGGTAAGTTAAGCAGAAAGGGACCATTTAAATAATGCTCCCTCTAAGCTGTGGAGTCTTGTGAGCAAAAATTCCACTTTGTGAGCTACCGGCATTCAAGTTGTGAGTGAACGATTTGGCTGCTGCATAAATTAGTTTGCTCTTGAGCCCTCTTTCCTGAGCTAAAACAAAAATGTGTGAGCCGGAGGCTAAGAAAACGGTGAGCTAGCTCACACTAACTCAGCTTAGAGGGAGCACTGGACCATTATATATAACTGGAGCTAAAAGTGCTGAGTTTTAATGGGGAATCCCACCCCCCGCCCCGGAATTTAAAGGTTGCATTTCCCCCTGACTTTGTTACAGGGCTTTGAAATTTCTATGTATGTTAAAGGAGATGTGGGGCCCCCCCCCCCCCCCCCCTTCCCCCCCCCGCTTGCTCCTCCAGTGAAAGTATAACAGGAGTGGCTGAATCAGTTTCTCCTGGGTTCATCGCTCCAGGTTGAAATAAGAACCTCTGGGATTACAGGGTATTATGCCGCACGGCTTTATGATCCATTTCAGTGCTCTTTCTTCACACCAGAGTAGAAGTGGAAAAACAAGCCAGAAAACGGGAATTGGGCCTGCCATTTTACTCCATATTTTCGATCTCCTGATGGAAAGAATAAGCACACCCCCACTCTGAAATCCCACCCGCAGATTTTTAAAAATGATCTGTAAAGATGTGGGGTCTCAGTTGAAAGATCTTGGGGAGTAGGTATTGGAAAAGGCCTTCCATCAGTATTGGATTGGACCATCCTGAGTAAGGTGGACAAATGGTCTGACTTGGTATGGATTTATGTTTCTGAGGTCTGTAGAGAAAGGGGTGCTTTTCCCCCTGCATGCGAAACGCAGCTCTTGAGGACTTTGGAAGAGATGGACCTTTGGCCTGATCCAGCAGAACTCTTGACATCATATGGGTGTGTTCAGACAGGCCGTTTAGTCCGCTTTCGGCACGCTTCAGTAACGGATTTTATATCCACGTTCACACACCCAACATCTGCGCACCGTCCCCAGCCGTCGCTTTCCGGCTCAAACCCCCTTTAAAACGGAGTATTTTGTTACCAGGTCCCCAAGTGGTGTTTTCCTGATTCTCCGGTTCCAGCCGCACTTTTCTGACGTCTGATCACTCCTGCGGTGTAAGACACTTCTGGTTTAACCCCCCTCCCCACTTGAAAGCTGCCCGAGGCTTCCACTTTTCACCCGCCATTTTTTTAATGCGTTGGTGGTGTGCGCATAGGCAGAGCTCCGCCACCGCGTTTAGAAAACCGACATTTAAACGGTCACTTGTCTTAGCGTTTAGATGAGTTCGGGATCTCACGGAGCCATTTTCAGGTCAAACATTTAAAGGGAAGTCTTTTGTGGGAGGGGTTGGATTGATTTGCCCTGGTGGTTCTGCGCATGTGCCATGATAGTTCCCCCCCTTCTACGGAGGGGTGCCTATGCGCATGCGCAAACTGAGGAAAAATTTAAAAAACCTGCCGACACACGCTCCCGCGCGTCAGTAGCATAGACGCCGGGGAGTGACGTGACTGCACGGTGAGGCGGGATAAGGGAGGTAAGTGTGATCGATTCGCGATTATCCAGATCAAATATTATCTGGTTAGAACCGGAGCAGTTTAACCTGCTCCCAGCAGGCCGTCTGACCACACCCTATATCTAACAGTCTTCTGCCCAGATCTGCGGAAACTTAATATCTGCAGATCGGGGTCACATCGACAGAAAACAGATCTGCAAAATTTGGGGGGAACCCCCCCCCAGGTTTGCAGAAAAATCTGAAAAATACATTGGGGTTTTTAAATCTCCCCCAAACAAGAGTGCGTGTGAAGACAGGAAGAATCACATGGGGGGGGGGGTAATGGGACGACTGATCCCACAAGTTTCCTGTTTGTACTAAAATGGGATTCAATAAATTCAGAGAAGAAAGATCTAGCAAGTCTTCCAGTCATGACAGCTTAATCGACCCTCCATGTTTAGAGGTACTGTGCCTCTAACCAAATGCCAGTGAGAGATTCTAGGGGAGTACCTCCTTGCTCTGGGGCCTTGTGAGCTTCCCAGCGACATCAGGGTGGATTCCAGTGTTCCCTCTAAGCTGAGTGAGTGTGAGCTGGCTCACAGTTTTTTAGCCTCCGGCTCACACCTTTTTGTCTTAGCTCAGGAAGGAGGGCTCCAGAGCAAACGAATGTATGCAGCTGCCAAATCGCTTGCTCACAGCTTTCATGCCACCAGCTCACCAAGTAGAATTTTTGCTCACAAGGCTCCAAAGCTTAGAGGCCTCTGCTGGGAAAAGTATATGAGAAGACACGGACCTTCAGATTCAACAAGGCTCTTCTGAACTAGGACCTTGGTCCCAAACAGACGGCTTGAATTGCAAGCGGACACGCAACTAGAAGTGAGTCTGGCTGAAGCCGGATGTTTATTGCATTCAGGCAACGCAGCATTAATTTAGAGAGATTAAAAATAATAGTACGAGTCGCATTTGGGGCATTTCTGGAGAGCAGACCATCGTCAGTGCTTCACGGAAGAAGCCGCTGTCCCAGTTCCTTTCTCTGTTCCTCTGAGCTGATGTGGTTGCAGCGGACCAGTTCCAAGATGGCAGCCTCAGATCCAAGAGCCGGGTCTGGCCTCTTCTGCCAGGGGCCCCTGAGATGCCACAAGCGGTGCGTCAGGCAGAGGACTCCAAGGAGGACGGGACCCCCACACAGCACAATCACTGCAATCAGGAGCAGAAGGCCCTGGGGTCCATGGAAGAGGTTTCCACCATGGGGCAGATAGGTGCGAATTGGCTGGGAGCAGGAGCGGGTGGGCTCATCGTAGGCACTGAAGGGTGGGCAGGCTGTGCAGTTGTTGGCTGTTCCTCCACGGCACGTGTAGCATGAGAAGTGGCAGGCTGCGCACGTCTGGACCGTGCGGGAAGGAGCGCTGGGGTCACGGGAACGACGGGAGTGGTTGTAATACCTGGGCGGGCAGTAGGAGAGGCACAGGTGGTGGAAAGCGTAGAAGGGGCTGGTGCATTCTGGGGAAAGAGAGGCGGATACATGTCAGAAAGGCTCCTGACTGGAGGTCTTCCTCACTTTGCAAAAGATTACACTGGGTGCCAGGTCTGGGTTGGAAAATACCTGGAGACTTTGGGGGTGGATCTGGGAGAAGGTGGGGTTTGGGGGGCTGCGGTGGCTCAGCGGTTAAGATGCTGAACTGCAGACCAGGAAGGTCTGTAGTTCAGCAGTTCGAGACCCGAGTGCCGCAGGACGGAGTGAGCTCCCATCTCTGGCCCCAGCTCCTGCCAACCTAGCAGTACGAAAGCAAGAAATTGCAAGTCGATAAATAGGTACCACTTTGGTGGGAAGGTAACAGCATTCTGTGCACCTTGGTGTTTAGTCATGCCGGCCACATGACCACGGAAACGTCTTCGGACAGCGCTGGCTCTTCGGCTTGGAAACGGAGATGAGCACCACATCCCTAGAGTCGGATTTGACTGGCTTTCGAGCAAGGGAAACCTTTACCTTTACCTATATATATATCTGCGGGAGTGCTGCGGGAGGAAGGTGGAATGCTGGAGGGAAACACAGCCGGAGTTTAGTTCAAGTCTGCCACAAGGGGAGTGCCGACGGAGTTCGATTCTGCCTCAGGAAGAGGCCAGTGAGAGCTCAGGTCAGGAAAACAGCAGGCAGAGTGATTTGGCTCTACTACTGACAGAGAATTGTGTACCCGATTGTTAGGCCTGTCTCTGGTGTGGAGCAGACCTGAAGCCACTCAGTCTGGCTCTTGGGAAAGGGCAGGCTGCAGTGTGGGTGTGTGTTAGGATCCAGCCGAGTGGCTAGTCAGTAAAAACCTCTGTAGGCCTCAGAGATACATCTCTAAGGCTTCCAAACTCGGGATGTTGTTAAATATCAAAAGCACCGTTGAGCCAGCAATATATTTGACGTCAGTGGAGGGAAAGAATTCTAGAAGGGCATTTGCCCTGGCTAGATGTTCTGCCCTTCCGTCTGCGGTTATTCAAGGCAGGGACAACAAAAAACCCTACTCTGAAAGGCTATTGCCACGCCTTTTAAGTGAGGTTGAATCGGCAGAGCCTATGTTCTTCAGCCTTCCATTTTACAGGGAGGCTCGTCTCAAAATTATTACCCCATTCGTCGATCAGACACCTGGGCACATTAATACAAACAATTTGTGATTGACCCAAGGTCACACCAGCAGCTGCATGCGGAGGAGTGGGGAATCAAACCCGGTTCCCCCAGATTAGAGTCTGCGCTCCTAACCACTACAGGAAGCTGGTGCTCAGTTTGGTGTAGTGGTAAAGGACTTCTGCCGGCAGTGTTCCCTCTAAGCTGAGTTAGCGTAAGCTAGCTCACAGTTTTTTAGCCTCCGGCTCACACATTCTTGTCTTCACCCAGGAAGGATGGCTCCAGAGCAAACTGATTTATGCAGCAGCCCAATCACTCGCTCACAACTTTAATGCCAGTAGCTCACCAAGTAGAATTTTTGCTCACAGGACTCCACAGCTTAGAGGGAACATTGCCGGTAACGGAGAACAAGACGGAATGCCCCAAACAACTCACCCTGGCAGGTCCCATCAGCGTCTCGCCTCACGCACTCGCTTACCACCCAGGCGGCTGCCCTTCTCGCGGACATATCCTCATCCGTCCCGTACAGCTTCAATACAAAGTGGGTGAGGAAGCCTTTGGAGGGATGCAGAAGAAGAGGGAAATGTGAGTGCTGGAAAGACCCGTCACGTGCGCCTGAAATCCTCAGCCTCCAGATTTCTCCTCGGATTTTGAAGAACCAAACAATTCAGGCCTTGCTTCCAAAGTGGAAACAATGCGCTAGGAATCCTTCGCAATCCCATTTTTATTTCCTTTTCCCCACCAGCTCTGAATTCCCGTGCATCCTCTCCCACCCCAGCATTACCAGTGGTGGGGAGAAGGGGCTACGTTCTGTGACATTTTTTTAAAAAAAGGAAAAGGTACTGAGCATTACAGAGAAAA